CTTCCACCCTACCTTCCTTTTCTTTTTATTTACACACAAAGACCACAGGATCTGCAAACAGCAAAATTAGTAAGAATAAAATGGGAAGAACAACATTAACAGATATATGACAAGGTAATCACCTAACTTAATTGCACTAAATTCTGGAAGAGTTTAAGAGGGAAAAAATAATGGAGACATGGACCAAGTTAACTGGTACTGCTGAGCTGATGCTCAACCTGCAGACTACTACAAGGGACTAAAGGACAGGATTTTTAATTCCAATGTTTTGGAGCCTGTCTTGCACCCTTTTGCCTCCAAGTACAAACATTCTCTGGAGATTTGACCAGCTTATCTATGAATAAAATTATGACAACATCTGTCACCCTGCACCAAAAAACCCCAAAACTAAAACATCCACCCAAAAAAACAACAAACCCCAAATCTCCCAAACCACCAGTGTTTAGCATGGTTCAAAAAAATTTTTTTTAAAAACTGTCAAAAGATGATTCAGATGGCCAGTAATGGAAGGATATCTAATAAAACACTAGATAGAAGGGGTTAAAAAGATCTTCATACAGATATTAAGGCATGTCTCCATTTTAACGCCATCTAAACAAAGGGGCCCTTTCTCAATCCATATCCTTACCATGTGTAACCAGAGCACAAAGCCTCTTATTAATGCATAAGTTCAAAACCAAAATTAAATTTTGTTCCCTTTACTTCTATTAAAATGTTTTTCAGTGACCCTGCTAAGACTGAAAATTAGTAATCAAACTACTTTAGTTATTTCATATACATTTGTACTTTCCTTAGTAGCTCACCATTTTCCAAATCTTCCTTCAGCCCTGCTATTATTCTGTATCCCGAGTTTATGTACAGAGACCAGTTATATTCTCTCTTTCCTTCAAATGGCAAGGGTAAACAAGACCAAGTCTTTTAGCCTCCTTCCCTGTTTACCACTAGGGAATGAAAAGCTTAAGTAAAAGAATCAGAACAATAAATAAAGAAGATGTTATCATTTTCCTAATCCATATTAGGGATGCTATTAAACTGTGATATTACAAATTGAAAAAGGATTTAAACACTTTGTCAGTAAGTTCCCCATAGTAAAATGAGTCCCTGTGTTCATCATTGTGTTGTACTAATTAAACAGTTTTAACTAAAATGGTCAGAAAGTACGCACAAGCTGTTTATCACTGCTGGCCTTTGAGCTTCAGTATACTCTAAGGACAAGCTACTTTAGATGTGATAATTACTGAGTTCTTACATTTTTACTGAAGAGACACAGAAGAGTTCCAACAGAGAATTTCACATTAATCAGAAAGAACAGGGTACTTACTAATAATAAAGCCATGATTATAACAGAAAAAAAAAAAATTATTCAGTTCAACATTTGTAGGTACTAATTCCAAGAACTGTTTAAATTGATATCAGGCAAAAAGTTTAGTCTCATCTCTCTAGGGAAATTTGAGAAAATTAATCATTTATCTGAAGCATAAAAACGCTAAAGACTTTTAACTATTCACCAGCCATAGCTTATCCTCCCCATTCTTCCGCTTCTTAAGAGCTCAACAATTTCTCTGACATCTTTTCTTATTACGTTTTAAAATTCTAATCGAAGTTATTTCTCCATGAATTGGAAACGTCTTCAAACTGTAACACCAAAGACTTACATGATACTACAAATATTACCCTGTAGAGAACTCACTTTTAACTTTTTTAAGGGCAAAATAAGGACAATTAGTGGAATTTCATTTCTTGGGTGCCATCAGCAACAGTTCTCTCTCAAGTTTCAGGAGTATATATACATGGTTCAGAACAGCTAAGTGTCTCAACCTCAGTTTTAATACTAAAAATTCTATAAAGTTTAAACACCTTTCAAGGGTGCTAGAAGAAAACAATATTAACAGACCCAATTAACAGTAACTTCCTATGAAAAAAGTGACACAAATGAGACCATCCCAACAGTTACACAATTAATCAGACTGTGACTACATAATGGAAAAATTCTCCTTATTAATACAACACACCAAAGAAAATTAATTCTTGCCTAGCAAGATTTTTGTGTCTCTTCCACTTACTAGTACAGAAGCAGAAATTCAGAATCTGCACAGTCAACATTTAAAAACTACAGGCTGTTTCAGTCAATTAAATTTTTGGCAAGTTGAACCTTGCATCAATTATGGCCTTCAAATAAATATTAGATTAAAAATACTCAATATACAGTAATAGAAAAAAAATAAATCAGAAGCCTTCAGGGGATTTTATAGATTTATTTTAGCTTTTAAGTTTACTTTTATATATTCTTTATTTTGTGTGGACAACCAAAGTAGTATCAGGCTATGAAAATTTACTGTTTCATCTTTTGTGTATGTTTATACATATACACATATAATGCATGTTTATTTAAACTTACAGTAGACCACTATCTTTATGCCTCACAGATAACTTAGCATTCTGTGCACAAAATGGCACTATAGTACTATGCAGTATTCACTACAGCCAACTAACGAATATGCTCAAAATTCTAAGTCAAAAATATATACCATAACAAAAGCTTATTAGAACATCCTAATATTTTGCTGATTTTTTTTATTTCTATTACTAAAAATATTATTAAACATCAGAAAACCAGTTTTTGGTCACTATTCTCTGGACAACTTTAGGTCTATCCAACTTTGTATCTTTGTAACATATACAAGATAGTCAGTTGGACGAAAATTATGGCAATAGAAAGAATCAACTAGATTCATCTGAGAAACACACTCTCATAGCCTATACAGCATGTCTTTCCTATATGTGTTAACAACTAAATTGCTGAATATGAGTAAGAAGTTTCATGTAGTGTTGTCAAAATTCTCACAGATAACAATTTCTCTCTTTACACACATATTTACCTACACTGCTGAAATTAATACTTACATGTAAATTTTACACTTTTTTTAAAAAATAAGTTGGAATCACTGTACTTCAGACCATTTAAATGCCGTGCTAGCCTGAATCCAAAGCAGGTTACTTAATTTCTAACTTTCAAAAATATTTTGGAAATGGCCTACATACCAAATCACAGCTTTTTATTTGTATGTAGTGGTATATTCTAGTTGATTAACCAATTATTAAGGCTGTGCAGATCCCACTCCAAGTAGCAATGAACAAATACAGGAGCACACAGAGAACACCAGGCTTGGCTCCGCAGTGAAGCTTGAACTGCCAGGACCCACCATAGTGGCAGAAGCTTTGCATTTTCTAGCACACACTTCAAATCATCTCAAAAGAGCCAACAGCCTTTTCATTCCAGGTCACGCGTAAACAAATCACAAGCTTCTCCAACTTCCGAATGCCTAAGAGTTTATTAAAATAAATTAGCGACCTCTTCAAGGCCATTCTTCTGAAAGAAAACAAAGAGCTAGCAGTAGCTAGTGAAATAATTTCTTTTTCAGAAACTACAGACAAACTCTTTCCTGCTCATTTACACTATATTTGATAATTAACTGGCAGTGAAGAGCTAAGCTACTAAACCCCTGATTTCTAGAAGAGCAGCTTAATAGTTAAGGGAAATCCAACACCTTTCTTCTTACTCATAATCCTCATACAGCAGGCATCAAGTTTGGTAAAAACTGCAACAAATAACTAAAGCAACTCCTCACAAAGAATACACTGTCAGGTTATGAAACCAAGATTTCAATAACTAAGAAATGTTCTAAAAAGCCACTAAGCAATATAATTCTAAGATATCTGGAGGTATAAAGTCCAGAGCTATTTACATGGCTCTGTAGAACAACTGCATAGGACAATCACCCTCAAAAATCTGTAACAACTGAGGAGTTTCAAAAGAATTACTGTTTTTGGTGTGGGGACATGTATGCATGCACACAGATGTACATAGACACACATATGTTCAATCTGGAAGAAAAATGCAGTACAACGGAAATGAGATGTCCTTAGTGCCAGTGCAAATTCCCTGAACACTTTTCCCAGTATGGGTGTTTTACCCCAAAGCAAAACAACTATGTGAAAAATTGAAAAGGGAGAAAAGACATTTGTGTAAGTATTCTGCTCTGAATAAGGACTTGCACTCAATTTTCTTAATGGAGCATGGCACAGTGAGGTTTGTTTAGAGGCCTGTATGTTCTAAGCAGCACTGAAATAATAAAACTCTATTTGGAGAGTTTAATCTAATTAAGTATACAAAGAAAAGCCACAGAAATACACAAGTGTTACCTCCATTTTTGCTGTTGTGTACTATCTTCCACTTTATATCACTTTAATGTGCAAACCCCTTACCTGTAAATTCTATTAGGGAAGAATAATATGGTTTCCTATTTTGTCACTGATCAATGAAAACGGTTGGGGATAGCTGGGGTAGATTTTGAAAGGCCTGTTCTTTCCCAAGTAGTTTTTAAAACCCTTCAGATCAGATTAATTCAAAACAGTTCTAGTTAAATGAAACCATCCTCCTTCAGAAGGTAAATGTACAATGGAACAGAACACCCCATGGAGTGCACAATATTGACAGACAAGCTAAGGGTTCTGCTTAAGCAGGGTGTTGCAAGGGGAGAGGACAGGACAACCAACCCTGAGATAAAGACACTTCTATAAGCAACAGAAATGGTTACACAGGTATGGGACAAACAGTAATTGAGACTAAGTACAGTCTCCAAAAGGTCTTTAACGAGCTTCAAAGCATTCTGCAGCTCGCTTAGAGGCACACCGAAGAGAAAAAAGCACCATCCCAAGAACTACATTCCTCCTAAAATTCACTTCACAAGTGTCTCAGGACGGAAAACACTGAATGAACAAGAAAATTAGAAACTTACGTCTAAGGTTTAGCAATCCATACTAATTTTGTATTTAACACAACCGTCTTCCACTCACACTCACTGCAAATCAACATACACTGATTCCCTAGTATCCAAAGCAACTCAGCATGATCCAAGGGTAGCATCACATGAAATTTACATTTAAAGACGACCACAAGGATCAAAAAAATAATTTAGTGACCAAAAAGATATACTTACATCTGGATATTCTTTTACAGGCACATATAGTTTCTCTTGTAACTGCACAATAGGTCCCACAGCATCTGGTAATTCTGCACTTCTCTTCTCCGTACTACCATTTAATGTGTCGTTATACATGTCTTTCCGTACTCTGCTAATTTCTGTGGGGGGAAAAAACATATATTAGGCATTAAATACAGTAACAGATTATAATCTAACATGACAATCTTCCCTTTTTATTAATTCCCAAATCTTAATGTCATTTTGTTCCTCTTCTCACGAACATCATAGCAACTGAAAAATCTGCTCTGGTTTTGTCTTTTTTCTTCTGTTTTGTTTTGGGGATTTCAACTGGTCGTTTTTTTTTTTAATTGCAGTACCCATCCTTAAACATCTTTCATGTCTGTAAATTTGCTGCCTACTCATGCTGTTTATGGAATTCAGCTACTGAAGTAAAAATTACATGCACCTCCTCAGAACACTTACAAGATTGCTCACATCATTTAAAAGGTGTATAAAAACAGTTCTTTTTTTTTTAATAATAAAGCATCTAGAAAGCAAAAAAAAAATTTAGAAATCTGTACGCAGCATAAAAAATAAAAAATGCATCGATACAGTACTTCTGCTAGTTATGGAATTAACTATAGCTCAGAAATAAAAAGAAGCATCTTTCAGCTATGGGAAATAGGACAACTTAATGGTACAGTTCATGAGCACATGGTATGACAACAAACTGGTAGATATTGTTCTACTGACTATCCCCAAAGAGATAACAAAAATAACAAACTCAAGTATGGTATCAGAGACCTGGGCAAGCTCTCTGTGCACTCAGAAGCCCTACTACTTCATTTCAAAGTAAAGAAAAACTCCTCAAGAGCACCAGGGAATGTCAAGGGCGAACTTGTAAGTCCTGTTTCTAGCATTTGCACCTATGTTACTCACACCTTGCAGTATTTACTTAGAAGATGCAGTTTAGTAGTTACAAAGTAGTTAAAAATGGGTAATTTAATTCAAATCTACATTAGCATCACTAAGCTGTAACAGTCTGAGAATGAACACAAAGCTTCTTTTTGTTTAACCAAAAAATACATTTAACAAGAGTCACATTTTACTTCTAAATCTGTTAAACGTGGTATTGTAATTGCTGCTGTAAGAATCAGAAGTTCTACATTTCATAACTTACGGAGTTCCAAATAGTGTAAAAATGTTCTCAATGAGTTTATTTCAGTATCACTGACGAACTAGTCAAAATTAATGTATTAACCAAGTTTCAAACCAAAAACTAACATTTCAACAGGATTGTTCCCAAAGCATTAAGACCGACATAAGCATGGGCTATAAACAAAGCAATCAGCAAATCCAGTCTTTTACTTAGAATTGCAACAACTGCTTTCAAAACCTCCAGAATGAAACAAGACACTGAAAACAGAAATCTTATGTTTTCATCTAAATACAGGAACCCACAGAAAGAAGTCACTTGAAACTCTAGCAGCAGTCAAGAGATTAATAGAATCTGTTTCATAATCAGTTTCTTCTCTGGTAAATGATTAATAGCTGAGATTTCACCACCTGAAAAGCTGTGGGGTGGGGAAGAGCATCATAAAGGAGACATCTCTGAAATGCATACTCAGGAACAAGTTGTTTCTCTGCTGGAAACTGACACAGTCATGTACTGTATCATGATTTGGTAGTTAACACCGGTTTACAATAGGGAACACAAATTTTGTCACCATATAATCACAGCAGAAGGAAAAAAATCCTCATCTCCTTCCACACAGACAATTTTGGCAATGAGCACAAATTCCTCAGAACTGCAACCAGTATTTATACTGGCTTCAGTATGTAAAGAAATTCTTCAGCACATCTCTTTGAACTAATACTACAATCTTTTGACATACGTTGTTCCCTTTTCATTCTGTTCAGATTTTCCATTAATTTACACTACACTGAAACAAGCTAGGCAGTCTGTAGAAGAACTGAAGCTTAAGCAGCAACATGGTCATTTTTATGTATAGTTGGCAGCTATTCAGTAGCTGCCAACTATAAATAAAATTTTCCTTTTAAAATGTATCTTTCATGCAGAATATAATCACTAATATTGGATATCATAGTCTTCACAGGAGAAAATGGACTTTTATTTTAATCTTTCTTTTGCAAATAATCCTCTGACACATTCATGACACTTGAAAGCCAAACATCCAGAACATGCACAGAGAGTACGAGAGCTGGCTTGAGGACTACCCTTCAATTTCAGCTTGTGAGAAACCTAAGCTACCTATCACGCCTCAAACTTTATAGAGAATGAAGACATCTACCAACTCAGTGGAGTAGAAAAATCCACTACAGGACGAGACACCTGAACTTTAGTTTTCTCGGCATGTGTAAGTTCGTATTTTCTCTCTCTACATTCAAGCCAACAGTAATGGCAACAAACATCAGGACAGGCACAGTCACCTACATCAGCCACCAGTATCACTTGCTCCTCAAGTGCTACCATTTCTTCTGCTTATTGGAATTTTACCTTCTCTCTTGTCTTAGATACTTTCTCCAAAGCCTCAGAAGCAACACATGGAACAACAGGCATTCCCAGTTTTCTTTACTGCTGATCCAGTCTCAAAACTCCACTTCTGCAGAACACATTATCTGTGAAACTCTTTCTACTTTTCTTCAATTTGACAGAATGGAAGGACTACAACTTAAATTATAAAATAATTAGATCAAGTCTGTTGTTCACCCCTTGTCTCTCACTCCTAACTACAGATGGAGTACAACCCATCTTCCTTCCTAAGGTATTAGTGCAGCTGACCACAAGCATTCTCTCAAATGCACAACTCCTGAAGCTATCTGTTTGATATGCCTCCTGAGTTTTTTGAGATTTTGCTTGAATCCTTCTACACATCTGCAAGATTACTTTTTTTTTCACCACTAACAGCAGTTTTCTCACATACCTGCCTCTTGTTTAATCACACCTCTGGTGCCTCAACAAGACTCCATACAAAGTATTGAATTTTGATGACAAAAATGGTTTTTGTCATGGCTTTCCTTTTATGGTCTCCATTACACCCAATTCAAGATTCTAGTCTCCTGAGTATCTCGAAACCTTGCCACTTGCTTTAGGCAGTTATGTGTATTGAGAGAATTATGTGGTACTGTATTTTCAGCACCTCCCTCCAGTTTACCAGGAGTTAATAAGGTTTCAGAAAGCATCACTAGTAGCATGTTAGAGGAGATAAAAGTTCTGCTCTCTCAAGCTGCAGAAAGCACCATTTTATTCTGTTCTGAAATACATCAAAATACCTAAAAATCTGAGGAGCACTGCTAAAATAGGAAGGTCAAATCCTCCAAGCACACCTTTTTAGTTTTAGCATGGAATTCACGTATTAAAAAAAAAAAAAAAAAGAAGAAGTCAAGTAAACAGTCTTTTATTTAGACTTATTTCACATTTCTGACACACTACCAAGTAGGTCTTCCCTTGCCCAAGAGCTTCTTTGGTATGTTTCTCACAAAATCACAATTTTCAAGTTCATTTATAAAGCCTTAGCTCCTTCACATTTACAATTCTTTAGATTCTTCCCTCTCACAGAAAGCCAACTGATTCAAAATATAGGAAACTTTACTTTCCAAGCGAACATGTAAGTACAATTCTAGGTACTTTACCTCTGTCTTAATGCTGAAGCAGTAATTACATTGTATAACACTCTAAAGATTTAACAGAGTGTTAGTAAAGAGAGATACCTATAATCATAAATATGACTGAAAAAAAAAAATTAAGGGCATACAGCAGCTTCCCCATATCTCTAAAACCTGTGAGCTCTGTCAATGCATTAATAGGTTTCTGAAAGGATGTAAGTACCCATCTCTACTGTAGGTAAAAACAGAAACTCAAAGAACTTCAAAACCTACAATACTCACCTTTAACAATACCCTGGTCTACACATTCTAATCAGAAAGTTTAGCAGTAAATGACAAATTTGTCTTGCCCACAGCAGGGTAGTGGAGAAATAAATTTAAAAGAAAAGATAAACTGGTTTCAATATCTTTAGCTGTAGCATGACCTAGTTAGCCATGGTAGCAATGACATGCACTCTGGTCCAGAGGACATTTTTCTTCCTATGTCCATGAAACTATACAAGTAATGTAATTGTTTGTTTCCTTTATCTACAGAACATATTTTTTCAATCTAATACTTTTCTAGTAAGATATGTTTTGAAGCAGGATATACTGTTTATACTGCTTACATCTGTCTACCGATATGTACTGTTTTGATTTCTTTATTAAACTTAGAGCATTCTGCCCCCTTGAACACACAAAGAACAGTGTTCATGTGTTTGTCATCACATTAGACACCATAAAGAAGTTACTTATTTTCAGCTGTCAGTTATTCCTTCAGAGGAAGACTCTGCACATGTGTTTAAGACTGCTGGGTTGCAACATAACATAGGTCTACATAAACCATTCTGCAAGAATATTCAGAGTAGGAAATCACTGAAAAGATTCAAATCCTTCTTGTCCTACCACTTTGCAAAACACTTTCATCACCAGTGGTCACAGCTTTACTATTTCTCACCATTAAAGCTCCTACATTATAAAGTTTTATCTTTTGGAAGAGCAGCAGACTTACTGTTTTTAAATTGATGCATTTCTGACTGCAGTTTAAGCCAAAACTAAGAATTTTAAGAATTAAAACAAATCTTCTGATATTCCAATTTAGCTACATCCATTTAAACAGAGTTAAACTGATGCAACTCTCAGCTTATGTTTTTTCCTAAAACCATATTAAGTCATCAACACACACAGAATTTCATTTTGGAAACTAACAGAAGAGGACCTTAACTACCATTCATTGTTTTTACAATACACAGCAAGTGGGACTGGACCAATCCAACAGTCAAAATCAGGAAGAGATACAGAATTAATCAAAACACTAATCATCTTCTAACACAAGCAGGCATGCTTCCTTAACCAAGTGAAGCATCAAGCTTTGAAAGATTCTCAGGCACCAGCTAGTTTCCATATGAAAAAACAATAAAGTTAGGAGAAAATGTTTAAAGTTAAAAGTTTAAGAGTTATGGTAAGAATAATGGTTATGTTCATGTAACTAAAAATCTACATGGTACTTGGATCTCACTGATGCCATAAAACATTAGTTTCAGTTTTCTAC